CCCCCCTCCCTTTGAGCCCAGTGTGCTCTGATTGGTCGGTACAAATCGCGCTGAGCTCCGTGGAGGTGTGATTTCCTTGTTTAGCGATACACAGCCAAACTCACCCTGAGCACACACAAAGTCACAGCCGAATAAAAACAATAAGTGTGGCTTGATATCGAGTAAGAAAAAGGTTTATAGGTTGATAAATGCTGTGAGAATGGGTCTGCAGAGAGAATTTCGCCGCGATCCCAACTGTCTGTTATCAGCCTGCAGCCAGGGAGGAGAGATTAGCAGAGCTGCTTGCACTGAGTGTGTGTGAGTCCGTGGATTGGTCAATTTGGACCAATCAACGGGGGCTTAATGTAACGGCTCCGCGGATTGGCCCATTTAGTTTAGTAGTTAAGAATCAAATGGATGATGACGTTTCACCAACGAGGCGTTTTGGGGAGGTCTTCTCTGTGTTAGAGTTTTACTCCCTACAGGGTGTACTTTGAGGGTTTTGACTCTGCAGACCGTTTACATGCAGAAAAACCTTCATAACACACAAGGGGACGGGTAATAACCGGAAAAGCATGACATGGGACCTTTAATATGATAGCATAGAAAGAATGAATGCTGAGTAATACACTTTCAGGATTATTCTGTCATTATAGAATATTATTGATTAACTACTCCTCAGAATCAGAAACAGGTTTATTAACAGGTAGGTTGACACGTACGAGGAATTTGACTTGATGTCGTGGTGCGTACATACAAGTAAAAACACAGATAGAGAACTCGAATATTTTTTTTTTTAATATAACAGTATTTACATAGGAAATGGAATAAAATATGAAATACAAATCACTTCTAGCAAAGTGATATGAAATGATATCTCTGTATGTTAACGCAGGTCCGACTCCTACGACAGCTATTCCAGTCGGAGTCTCAGTGCGAGCAGGAGGCGAGGGCGCCGGAGGAGTCGCAGCTCCAGGAGCTCGGAGCGCCGGTCCCGGTGAGAAACTGCCGAAAGTCTCAGTTCAATCCTTCCTGTATCTGCATTTTAGATTATCACCATAACAAACTAAGAATGTAACAGCATCTCCTTCACGTGTTTCCGCAGGTCCTCCCGCTCCTCCAGCCGCAGCTCGTCCAGCAGCCGCTACAGCTGAGAGGAAACTAAAAACCACACAAAAGAACTATGACTGTAATCACAGGTCAGCAGATGAAGCTCGGAGAGGAAGAGTTGTATCCCTTCTTGTTACATGTTTATAATGGGACAGTCTTTGAGGAAGTGAATGTAAATAAGTAAACCACTTTACAGGCAGATCTTCTTGACTGTCAAAGCTGACAATAAGCTATAAAAAATGTTTTTATGAGAAAAATGTCCATATTTTATACTGTATATTTTGTTAATTCCTTTTTAACTTGTTTTTCTTACACTGAAAGGGATAATTATTATACTGTAATTGTCTAATCCGCTCAGTTCTGACGTGTTTCAGGAGTTATAGGTTGAAGTTATGCCTTAAATTCAGATTTTAAAAAGTGATTGCTTTTTGTAGCAGTGTAAAGCTTTATTCAAGCTGTGATTTATGTTCATCTCATTCTTTCTTATTGTATCATGAATGTTAAAAGCTGTACTCAAAGTATAGTCTCTCTGATTTGTATTCAAACAGTTATGAATGTGTTTGCTGAATAAATACCACAGCATCTTAAGTCTCTGTTTGTCCTCACTATGTACAGTAGATGATCAGTTAATGGACTACCTTTTACAATAGCGCCATCTACCTTTCAATTCAGAACTGCATTGTATTTTTATTTTCATCCTGGCTCATTTAAGTGCATGTATGACATGTGTCAAACATCACAAATGCACTGACCAAATACTAACTGTACTCTTCTGATGATATAATCTTAGATATTGTGCAAAAAAGAAATGCAATCGCAATTTGGTGCTTTACAGAAATGTAGAAAAAGGGAGTCTATTCAATTGCAAATCCTTAATTGAAAACATATTTGCAAATATGTGTGTACACTAAACACTGATGGTGCTGAACTCTAAAATATACCCCAAAAAGCAGAATAGGGCCCCTTTAATGTTTAAACCAACAATACCTCATGTCCATACTGAGGTCATCATTTGGCATACACTGCAACAGAATTGGATTAATGTTTCCTTCACAAAAAAGCTCCTATAGTAACCCTTTTATTAACAGCAGGTGTTTTAAGTTGCTCCAGATATGTTTTTCAGGGTCCTTCCAAAGGTGGAAGCTTTATTTAGCTCAGGTTTCATGAGGAAAAAATCATTATCCTGCTGTCACTTTCTGCTAAAATAGATGGTTCTCTCCTCACACAATTTCTCTCTTTCATATGGCTTCGTCGGAAATGTTGATATGAAATATATATAGTTTGTTTTTGCTGTTAGGAGAAGCCAAACTACACTATTACACATCCACATAATGTAGATCAAAAAGTAAATACCTCTAAATGTGCTGTAAGATGCTGTTTTTTAAGTGGTCAGCCTCCCTGCTTCCACCCTGACGCTGAGGCTCAGAGTGATGAATGGGACCTGCTCCAGGTGCAGATCGATATTTTTCCCAGCTTGTTATGAGCGTATTGACTTCTGCTTCATACGGTCTGCTCAGGAGTGAGCGATGGGGTCCAGGTATCCTCCCGGGGGAGGTGGGGGAGACAAGGCTGCATTACTAACTGGGCAAAGTGGGAAACTGCCCCGGGCCCTCAGAAGATATAGGCCCCAAAATGTGTTAAGAAATGTAACATCAAACTTTTTTTTACATCTGATTGTTCAAGCACATTTGCACAGATGCTATACATCAGAGTATTATTAAAGGGGCCCTTTGTTTTGGGTGGTGTTGCCTTCACTGTAGTGTGTTATATAGGTTTCTGTGCATGTAAATGGTCTGCAAAGGCTAAAATCCCATCACTATGGAACACTTATGCTCCTATTCGCTATCGCTCCAACATACTGTAGGCCAAGGGGCGGGACATATCTAAGCGGTTGACCAATCACAACAGAGCAGGCCAGCTAAACATTTGAAAACTTAATTTTGGTCTCTTAAAATGTGATGGATATTGATAAAGTAATGGAAAAATAGTCCTTGTTGCATTTAGGTCACATGTGTTAAACTCAAGGCACGGGGGCCAAATCAGGCCTTTAGTGGATTTAATTTCAGAGCCTGAGCCCAAACATTTATGAACTTGCACCCAAGATGAGATGCCAAGTATCTGGCTTGAACTAGCATCATATACCTCATTCACACCAACGGTGTTTCATGGCCGGTTCGGAGCTGGAGCTTGAAAAGCACCGGGTTTTCCTCTTCACGACCGCAGCGGAGTAGCCTCTTAGCTCCGGAATCCGGTTCATTTTTGAGCACCAAAAAATTGTCCGGCCAGAGCAAAA